AACAGGGGAGACGCCGATTGCTGTCATGGGAGAGGTGAGAATCATTTAGTCCCTAGAAACAAACCCAAACCAAGCAGCGCTTGAAGAGACATGAGGGATTCTCAAACCGCACTGTGTCCTGAACATGTTTCTATCTTTGCCGAAGGATTTACTGAGTTTTCTGAGTGCCTGGCACAAGGATCCAGCTCCTTGAGCATCTTCCATCCTGGCTCACTAATACCTGAGCTGCTGGTGGGGTTTGGGGCAGTTGAGCATCAGCCAGGCTTCGGAGGCCTGGAGGAGGGAGGAAAAGGACCTCCCCACTTCTCTCCATAACCTGTGGGTACCAACCCTGACTTTGGGGTTCCCGCCAGGGCAAAGTCCCATCAAACACAAAAACTAAACCAAGCAAAAAAAGGTCCAAAAGTTACTTCCCCTGCAACATCCAGTGGCACCGTTCACTGAATGTCTTTGGGCCTCTGCAAGCTCCAGAGCTACATGCAGTCAGCCACTCTCTCCGTTTTTGACTGGAAGAAGAGAAATTATGGGATGTTTGGGGTAGAGAATTGGGCTTTTTTTTATCAAATCACATGGTAAATGTGGTGCCTGGTTTGCAGGCAGGTCCTGTCCTGCCTGGCTGAAGCCACTTTCAATTTTTCACTCTTAAATGCCCAGATTTAAAAGGCCCTGATCAACCTGTGAGAGCAATATAGAAACTACTGTTAGATTAAAACTGATCTCATTTCTCCTTGAAGCTCATAACTGTTTTCTTCCTCCCCTGGAACTCATGTAGGGGAGCCAGACAAATCGGTCACATGCCATTTGCTCTCCCTTCCCCTCCCGTTAGACCCGTGCTCTTGCCCCAAGTCAGCAGCGCTGTGAGTTCCCACTATTGCCTGCAAAACCTCTGGCTTTATTGATATTAAAGGAACACAAGAGGCAGAGAGTGGCTTCCATCAAAACCTAGCTGTGGGAGGCTTTCATCCTTCAGGTTTTGCTTTTCCTTCTTTAAACTCCTGCAATATTTCTGTTCTCCAGGAGGAGGCTGATTCTTCCCAGCGAAAGAGGATGAATCATGTCCTTCCATTTCCATTGCCCGCTTTCTAACTCCTGCTCTCCTCAGTTCCTTCTGCTGCCCAACTTTTCAGCATTGTCATTACAGCAATTTAGTGTTTCAGACCTCATCACAGGGGGGAGACAGCACATCTCCAGAACCCAATATATCCCCAGCTCTCTGGTTACATTGGCACCGTGGCCTTGCAAGCCAAAGCACTTTCCTGATGCACAGGGAGTTGCATGGAGGTGGATTGATGGTAGAGTCCCAGGAGAGGTGAATGGATGGTGTGTCCAAGCAGCCACCTGACAGATGCAGAGGGCTGGAGAAAAGGCCACCATCCTTTGGTCTGTGACACCACTTGGTCGTGGCTTGGGAGACAGCAAAATTTCTCCCATCGTTCCAGAGCTCAGTCCTGCCCTGGATTGTTGCGTGTGGTGTTTGCCCAAAGGTTTAAATGGCAGCCACAGGCTTCTCCCCAAAACCTGTGGTCGGTTTTGCTTTTCTGCTCTTTACCACTGGCACTGCTGATGCTGGTGGCTTCTCCTGAGCACTTAAGCGGCTCGTTAAAATCGCTTGGAAATAGATGCCAGCTTGCAGGTCTGGCACCTCGGGTCTCCATAAGCCTCACTTACCTTGTAACTCCTTTTTCTTACAGTTTGGTGACCTCACATCCCTGTCCCCAACACTGCTGGACAAAGGTACCTCCTCTCCCTCAAGGGAATTGGGTCAGGGATTGAATCGCTGTGGGAGGGAGAACCTCGTGCTCTGCTGGGAGAAAGGACCTCTTCCCCTCTGATCCCCACTCTAATGCTGCGACTCATCCTTTGCAGATGACATGAGTGACCTGGGCAGCGAGGTGGACACGGACTCCCGGAGCATGGGGGAGCCGCTGGTGAAACGGGAACGCAGCGACCCTGGCTACTCGCTGCAGGAGATCTGAAACGGGGACTCAGCTTTTCTCCAGCTGGACGAAGACATCTGGAGCCAGGTTTGACGGTTGCAAGCCTGAGTCTCCCCGTTCCTGCGTTATTAGTGCCTCTTAGTTTCTCTTTATGTTTACTTGTGTTTGAGGAAGGGCTCCAGGGGTGAGCCTGGGCGGGTGGTGGGATGGGGCTGGTTTGTCCGCCTGCTTTCCTCCTGCCCACAGCACAACTGCTGGCTGGAGGGCGAAGGTCCAAAGTCGACTACCGAGTGGTGGAAGCCTCCATGGTCAGCAGCGGATCGGACGTGTGTGGCTAGGAGAGGCTGTCCTCTCCAGCCTGAGCGAGGCGGGCAAACGAGGCTTTCTCTTTCAGGGAAGGTGGTTTGGGTTTCTTCCCCACTTCTCAGACTTCACTGTGATACAAACTTGAACCAATCAGTGCCCAAGAAGAAGGAAAAATACCTGACCCTTCTCCTCCAGCCTTTCAAGACAAGCTGTCCTGGCTCTGACTTTGCCAAATCATTGGTGCCGGGGAGCGCAGGACAGTGCGTCTCTCTCGTACCCTCCTGGGGAGAGGGCTCCAGGCTGCACATCCGTCTGGTCCCGGCGGAGCGGTGCACACACACGCGCTGGGACTGACACGTACGTGCCCTGGGACTGACACGTGCTCGCTCTGGGACTTTGGGACAAGTGTTCCCACCTGCTCCTGTGTCTCCCCAGCTGGGTTTTTTCATTGCCGATCCACAAATGCTCCTGGGACACTGTCAGGCCAACTCAAGATACCAAAGGACTCTGAGGAACCGGCAGCTGGTCGCAAAGCGTGTTCATTGCCCCCCGATGCCCATGGGCAACCCCCATCCTCGCCAGGGTACCCAGGCAGAGGGGAACTGGTCCCACATCCTGGGTTTTGTAAAATTCTCGCTTGATGTCTTGCTCAAATGTTGAAGGTGGGGTGCAGCTGCGTGCGGGGCTGCGCCCGGAGCATGGGCGAGGGTGTGCGACCGCAGTGCCTTAGGGTGGGCCGGCGTGCCCGCTTCCCCCCGCTCTGGGCGAGCCGGCGCAGCGGTGCCTGTTGCTGGGACTCTGAGAAAATAAACCAGCCTGCCCCGTGCAGCAGCGTGGGGCTCTCACGGGCCCCGGCTGTGCTCAACACCACGGTGGCGTTTCCCCTTGCTATATGGCTTCGCCTTCTCCCGCTGCAGCGTTGCGGTGGGGGCTCCCGCGGGGCTGAACTGGGGGAGCTTCTGCCCCAGGGTGTGTGTGTGTGTGTGGGGGGGTTATTCTCCCTTTCCGTGTCCTATGGGGTGTGGGCTGACATGGAGGGGGGGGGGTTGAAATCTGTCATCAAGCCAAACAGCAAAAACAAAGCCCTGGGGCAAATCTTTCTGTGAATAAAGGCCGTGTCATAAATAGCTTTTATTATTATTATTATTTCTAATGATACAGTATTTGATGTGAGCTTTTCCAGGGGCCTACTGTACATTTGCATATCAGAGTATATTCTATCCAAATATATTATTTACTCATTCGGAACGGTACCAAGGTAACTGTGACACTTGAGAAAATATTGCTGATGGAAAGTAAAAAGAAAGTGTGTACAGTGGCACATCTTTCCCTCTTACCGTCCCGTGCTGTTGTCTGTCAGGGTGATGTCTGTCTGTCAATGTCTTGTATCAAAGCAGCAGGAGATGAGTGAGAAAGCTGGATTTATTTGTAAATAACGGCAAGGAACACTCCCTGGGTCAGAGTCTGCACTTCAGGTCCTGCTGATGAGATAAGATGGTCTAAAAAATCAACTGAGCAGCCAAGTCTTAAACACCCCCCCCTGCTGAGTGTGATATTAACTTCACCTGGTGCATTGGCTCCTCTTTGCAGCCACTCCCAACCCAACCCAGCCACCTTCTGCTTACCATGGACGTGCAGATGAGATACTCTGGAGCTCTGCAGCACAGTGCAAGCAGTCTGGATAACCACCTGAAGCCGATATGCACAAACCTCCCAGCTGAACCTGAATAGCAATAAACATATATCAAATGCTCAGGCCTGTACAGCAATTGTTGTGGTCCCATTTCTTCTTTAATCACTGAAGGGAGATGTCAGGGAGATGCTGCAGCCTTGCAGCGTCGGGGGGAGATGCAGGATCTGCCCAGCGCAGCCTAATTAAAGCGATTTTGGCCCGGGATCCCATGTCTGCAGGGAGGCAGATTCACCACAAGCTGGTTTGAAGGGGTAATATTCCCGCTACACCAGAGTTCACGGAGGGGAGAAGAAGCTGAAAGATCAGCACGGAGCTGTAAAGAGCATTTTCTAATTATGCTTCCAGACTAATTGTGGAGGATGGGAGCAGCGACGGATCATTCCCGCTCTCGCCCCTCAGGAAGGGGAAGGCTTAGCCCCAGGCTCTCTCCCTCTGCATCCCCCTCTGGATTCTGCCTGGTCTTGTGGGGACAAACGCTCCCTCCACCTCCAGGTGACTGTTGCTGTCCCTGCGCAAGGCAGAGAAACTGAGGCACAGGCTGAGGTGCCTCATGGCAGCAGTTCACCATCCCACTGGGTCCCAGCACCAGCACCACTGCCTCTACCCCTCTGCTCTGGCAGGAGGAGCCCGGCTGCTCCCGGGGCTCAGCTGGGGCCATTTAGCCTGCAGACAGGTTTCACCTGGAGCCTGGTGGGTCTTGGTGGGGGCAAGGTCCATAACTGCCCGCTGGGGCTCTTTCTGGGTGGCTGCTCTTATAAACCAGCAGCCTGGTTGCTCCAAGGGCTTTTTCTTTTTTTCTTTCTTTCTTTCTTTTCACTTTGCTTTTTAGAAGCCTTAGTTTGGAGGTGGGGAGGGTTGGGGCTTAATGCCTGCAGCTCTCTAGGATGTAGTGCCAGGACCTCCTACCCTTCCTGACACTGCTAAGCAGGTAAGGGCACGGCACCGAGCTGCCACCGCTCCCCCATCCCTAGGTTGGGGGCTGTAGCCCAGAGGCTCTGCCCTGGGGCTGGGGGCTGCTGTCCCAGCACTGTCCTTCTCCTCTGTAATGTCCCAGATGAAGGACCATGTCATCACGTAGCTCTGGGGTGGCCTTAGGGCTGGGTTCCCAGCCCAGCACCCCTCTGCCAGCGCAAAGAAATTCCTTCCCGGCGCTGCACCTCCTGCCCCCGCGGAGCCGCTCGCTCGCCCTGCTCAGCCAGGAGGATTTCTTCGAGAGCTTCAGCGGGTACGTGGCTGCCGGGATGCGCCTGGGGGCCCAGCCCTGGTCTTGCCTTGTGTTTGTCCCCAAGGGAGCGTGTCCCTTGTCTGGGATGGGTTTAGGTTCGTGGTCTAGGGCTGGTGCTCCCAGCCCCAGGAGACTCACCAGCGTCCA